CTTACCATCCATCCAATGCAGATCAAAGCTGTTGCCAAGCTGCCTAGACCAGGAGTAACGTCTTAAAGAAAAGTCTCCAGCAGCTTAATATTCTAAGCCAGTTTACTGTGTTCCCATTGCTTTTGTGCGGGGAAAGTGAACCCAGTATGACTTCACCCAGGCAGAATCACAGGACACCCTTACCTGGGAACACCTGAGTAGAGCAAAGCTTCTAGAACATTCAGCATTTTCATTTTTGAAGAACGACACAATTAGCTGTGCCGTTGACATGCCAATTGATATTGCTTGGTAATGATTGTTATTGCTAAAACTCTATTAGGTTTGTTTATTTGGTTATAAAATGAACATGTGAACATGTTTGGGCTAAAATAAGCCGCATGTAGGGTTTTCATTAAGGTAGTGCCAAACTGAATTTTTGTAGTGTTGGAAAGTAGAATCCATTGTTTCTCATTTCCATTGTTTTGGTTGATGTCTGTTTGGGGCTGCCCTGTGACTCTATGGTAGGGGGTGCAAGGAGAAAATGCATGCAACCCCCACTAAGTGCAGACTCATAAAAACTGTCCCTTCTCCTAGCTGAGGACCACCTTTACCCCTATCCCTGCTAGAACTTCTGGCACCCAAACCTCAAGAGATGGAGAAGTCAATATGACAGGCTCAACAGGCTTTTGAGAGGATTAGAAGTCAGTGATGGACCTCCAACCCCCAGAGCACACCGGCTCAGCTGCCTCGGGATAGGTAGATTGGTAACAAACTTGGTAGATTGTTAATTGATGGGAACTGATTTGTTTTGAGAAGAGTTGACTTGCTAAGGAAAGTATCAACTCCTCCATCAAAGTAGTGGTAACCTTGGAAGAAACTATTTTAATAGATTCTATATGTGAGGACTTACTGGGATACTGGGAGAAAGGGTGGATTTCAGTGGTGGTTAAGAGGGGTGAGTAGTAACAGGTGATGTTTGTCCAGAAAAGAAGGAACTGTTTCCAGAAAGCAGCCACTGCCTCTGTTGGCTTGATAAATGTCTCCAGAGAGCTTCGTCAGTGCTGGCCCCACCTTCACCCAGTCCTATCATTTTGGAATTCCCTTGTCCTCCAGGCTTCAGCTTTGTGGAGCTCCTTGCATCCCATGTCCCAGTGCAGAGCCAGCCAAACACAGGTCCCCAGGATCCGTCTCTGAGGGAATTTATAAGTGAGGAAAGCTAGTCAGTCTGGGACAGACTGTTGAGTAGTGCCGGGGGAAACCTTCAGCTCTGAGGAGGTTCTACAAAGGGAGCAGAATAAAGCAGGGATAAGAGGAATCTGTGATGAGAGCATTGAGAGACTGATGAGAAAACATCATAATAATTTGACATTTTCTCCTCAGGAATCAAATTTGTATTAATCGTGCTACATTTCTTGCAACCTATTTTTCTTGCTTGGGCTAAAAAAGGTAGCTCCCAGATTTGGTCTCATTCTCTTCACCACCATTGTTGCTACAAGTCCTAGCCTGAAGAAAGGCCATTGTATTCATCAGGGTTCTCAAAATGAACAGAACTGATAGAATGAATGGTGTGTGTGTGTGTGTGTGTGTGTGTGTGTGTGTGTGTGTGTGTGTAGAGGAGATGTGTTAGAATTATAGGTTGTGGTCCAAGTAGTCCAACAATGGCTGTCTCCTGATGGAAAGGCCAAGAATCCAGTAGTTGTTCAGCCCAAGATTGGCTATCTCAGCAGTCCTATCTGGTGCTGGAGTCCCAGGGAATTCTTAGAGAGCTTCCAGTTTTTAGTCTACAATGGAATCCCGAAGAAGTAGGTTTTAATACCAGCCCAGCCAAGGAGTGCCTCAGCAACAGGATAGATGAACTTGTCAACGAGAGTGAGAGCAAACAGGCAAAAAGCGGCCTTCTTCCATATTCTTTTATGCAAGGTACCACCAGAAGGTGTGACCTAGATTTAGAATAGGTCTTCCCACCTCAAATGATCCAATCAGAAAAATCTCTCGTGCGCATGCCCAGCTATTTGAGTCTTAGTAGATTCAGATGTAGTCAAGCTGACAGCCAAGATCAGCCATCATGGCTGTGAAGTGTCTTCACATCCTGATTATGCATTTGTGTTATATGTGTGTGCACTCTCATTTAGTCATCACCATCTTATGATGATTCTGAACATTTGTGTAGTTTGCTTGGGAACCTTATAGGAGGGAAACAACAGAGCCACAGCTAGAGGCTCATGCTTATCTACCATGCTGTGGAGGGTTACAGAGAGGATTCCATCCTGGGAAAAATGAGCAGCTTCACAGCAGGCTTCGTTCAAGGTACCACCAAAGAAGGGCTCTCAGGGATGGCTGATGCGAAGATAATGAGAAGTGATGGACAGCAGGGTCAGGAGAGTTCCGACTGTCTATATTATCAAGGATGGCAGGGATTCATCTCATGTTAGTGATTTCTGCTGATGCTTCATGATTATGAAGATTTTAAGAATGACTAGAGCAAAAGCTGCCTTTTTCTTCATTTTCACATTTATTTTTCTTCCTCTTTTTTCTTCTATTATTGTTGAGACAGGGTTTTACTATATAGCTGAGGCCTTCCTTCCTGAGCCTCACGAGTTCAAGGATTACAGGCATTACAGGCATCTGGCACTATCTCTGTCTTAGAAGACCTTCTTCAAGTAGTGTCAGGGGCAAAGCTCAAGTGCCAAACTACAGACCTTAGGCCCTCTCCCTTAATCTGGCTGATGTCCAGTGAGGCATATGGTGTAAAGACTCTCAGAAAACATTCCCAGAATAGCGTGGTCGTCAGATGGCCAGATAGCCAGCTTTTTATCTCAAGCTAATTTGTGATAAAACTGTCACTTCTCAGGAGTGCTGCCGTAACCTGCCAACAAAGCTCAAAACCGTTCCTTTCATCCAGGACATGGCTCCCTGCCTCTAAGCAACCCAAACTTTCTTCCAAAAGCCACAGCAAAGTCTATGGTTGCCTTTAGGACTAGATTCAGAGAGGGGTGGGCACATCATGGAGAATGGGTCCCCTTATTTTGAAAATAAAGATGGCTTCCACATGTCTTAAAGCCTTGTCATCTCAAACCTTGTCATCTGCTTGTTGCTTGAATACTCATAACTTGATCTCTAGAGGTCAAACTAGGCAGCAGTCTTGCCCACATTCCCAGGACATTTGTTCATATCCACCACTCCTAATGCTAAGGACTTAGAGGAAGCATGTGAAGGGCATGGAGTGTGAGAAAATGACGGTAGTAGAGGCCCAGGATTCACCTCCAGCTCATCAAATAAGTATCTTGTTTCACAAGAGCTGCTTATGCTGCTGCTCTAGGAAAGATCTTGAAAGTATCTTCCATGGTCTCTGAAACTCTGGGGATTTTTTTTCTCTCCTTTATAAAATATCACACCATTGATTATTAGTACTCTTTCTGTCTGTCTGTCTTGGGGGATATATCTTCTTGTTTATGTGGGTATTTGGAGGCTAGAGGTTAACCATGGGTGTATTTTTCCAGTCACACTCCACTTTATTTTTGAAGACAAGGTCTCTCACTGAACCTGGAATTTACTTACTACTAGGCTAGCTGGCCAATGAGATCCAGATATCTACTTCCCTGCCCCTGATCTGGCTTACTGTACCCCCATCTCGCTGCTCTACCGCCTTTTCCACTGATGCAGGCAACCCAAACTCAGGTCCCATGCTTGCACAGTGGGTGCTTTGCTGACTGAGCCACACCCCAAGCCATTTCTTGTCTGTTTTTACTTCTGATTATTTTTCATATGACCTGATAGTGTTAATACCAGCTGGAGGTGGGTTCTTCTTCTCCATCAGTTAAAGAATTAAAACACAGGAAATCAGCACAGTGCATAAGCGTTTACTGGCAAGTAAGCATTACAGATGTCTCAGGTCAACAAGGGTTGAGGGGGCTCACCTGGTGGTTCTCCTCTCTCTGTTTCCGTTGCTCTAGAGGTGCCGCCGCATCATTTCTGAAATAAGGACTTAGTTGTTGCCTTTTTCCATGAACACAGCAATATCTCCGAACCAGGGGATCAGAGAGTCTGAGACTGAGTCTCCCAAAATGGCAGATGCTACACCCATAAAGCCTCACCAACATGGCTGCCCTCTACCCTCTATGGGCACCTGTAAGCACTGATACACATCAGCTCACATGAGCACACATACATAAACATAAATATGTAGCAAATAAATATTTTAATTAAAATATAAGTATACCATTCTCATCTTTCCCTTTCCTTCCTCCTATAGATATATATATGTATGTGTGTATGTATATATGTATACTCCACAGGAAGTAGAAACTTATTGCCTGCTGCTGGGAACAAAAATAAAATAAAATAAAACATTTAAACTAAGCCTGTTATGCTTCTCCTCCTATATCCTAGGAGTGCCTAGCCTCAGGAGAATGCCTGCCTTCTTTCCTTAGGCAAACATAGATGCTTGGTACTTACCCCACCGTCTAAAAACCGCTGAACCTCAGCAGCTGCAGGAATACATCAGTTGTAAAGAGCAACATGGTAGGAGTTGCAAAGGTCCATGTGCTGCTGCTGCTGCTGCTGCTGCTGCTGCTGCTGCTGCTGCTGCTGAGTCTCCTTTCAGTGTATGCCAGTGCTGCCTGCATTGCAAATGGCTCAGACCTGGAGGGCTTTTGACGTAGGTGGAGACTGAGACACCCAGGAACCTGCAAAGTGCCAGAGAGAGGTTTGAAAGCAGTATTTAGACAGGCACTGACACATCCCTTGGCTAGAGAGGTGCCTCTCATGGGACAGCGGCACAGAAAATGGTAAAGCAACGCTGTTGGGAGTCGGCAGGGAAAGCCTTGCCCTCTGGCTTCACCTGTGCGCTTGCTGAGTTCTTCTCTGATAAGGACTGTCTTTGACTTTCTTTTCCCCTTCCAGAGAGGGATAGCCCCAAGTGAGGGGCCATTCACTTGGCTCTGTCTTTTAGGATGCTCCTCTGAGGGGCGGTGGCGCGTGCGGTGAGTAAAGGGAAGCGCTCTGTGTGTTCTGTCCCTCAGGTGCACCAGTACTACAGCTGCCTCCCAGAAGAGAAAGTCCCCTATGTCAACAGTCCCGGAGAGAAACTGCGAATCAAGCAGCTCTTGCACCAGCTGCCGCCCCACGACAATGAGGTAAGGCGCTTGGAGGGGGCTTCCGGTGGTTTCCAGAACTTTCCGTGAACTGCCCCTTTTCCTAATCGTTGTGATCAGTAAGCCTGCTGCCAAAAACTTCTGGCAATTGGTATTAAATTTTAGCTCCCTTAATTAGAATCTAAAGAAAACCCGGCTGATATTTCTGGAGAGCGCTCCTCACCCCACCCCCAAAAGAAAGCCTGTCTCACTTTGGACTGGGTTAGACGCCAAAGCCTGGCTTGACTACAGAAAGTTAGGGAGCACTAACATTTGAATTCTCAGGCCTGTGTTTTCTGACTTGGCTGTGTCCTGCCAGCCGATAGTGGGAGTTGGAAAGATGACTAAGGACCGCTTGGTGCCCAGAAGAAACACTGCAGGTCTCTCAGATTTTCAGGCTTGTTTCGTAAGAAGTGTATGTGCAGGTTCTTCGTGTTAAAGGCAGCCAAAGTTACAAGTCTGGATTGGCAGCTCTCACTAGGATTTTTATCACGTCAAGATCTACCTAGTTTGAGTCATCCATCTGTATTTTGAAAGTATTATAGACATTGCTTTTTTTCCTAATCCCAGAAACACAGCAGCTCTGTAAGCAAGGATTTGATTATTGGATTTTGATTATTTTGATTTTTTTTTTTTTTTTTTGAGGTTGGCTTTCCATTTAGCCAGGGTAACTCAGAACTCTCTCAGAGCTCAGTGACTTTCTCAGACCTCCTCTCTCCGAGAGCTGGCTACAGATGGGCAACTGTGCCTGGCCAGCGTCACTTATTACTGAAATCACACACTCATCTGAAGGAGGAAGTCTGTAAGCAAGCTTTTAAAAGATCGTGTGGGAGGAAGTTAGGCTTCTAAGCTGGACATTAATTTGTAGTATCTGGTATCAAGAATCTCACAGATGTACACTATTTAGCTCTGTATTTTAAAGCAAAATTATAATTTTTAAATTGAAAGAAAAAAATCTACCCCAGGAGAGAGCTGGTCTCCAGTTCCTACCAACTCATCATATACATGGTGACATAGTTGCATAAAAGGGATTTTTTTTTACGTGTGTGTGTGTGTGTGTGTGTGTGTGTGTGTGTGTGTGTGTAAGCACCTCCACCCACCGAGCCATCCTACTGGCCCAAAAGGAAACAATTTGAGCAGCTAATGCTGAGGAACTGAGGATGTAGATTGTGGTACAGCCCTTGTCTGGCTGGTGCAAAGCCCTGAGTTTACACAGCAAAATAAATATATGAATCTGAATAAGTGAGACAACGTCTCAAAATCTGAAACAACTCCCTAGAAAGCTGTGCTTCTCACTCCTGTTACTTATTTCGTGGTTCATAAAACAAATACAAAAGTTGACTCCTTCAAAGATGAAAGCAAACATTGTAATCAGATGCCCGGTTAACTAATCTGGAGGTAAAAATGCAAGTTTTCACAAGCTGGAGGGGTGTGCCTGTTTTTAAAAGTACACTCATAAAATGTCATCAGTGAAACCATGTTTTCTGGGCTGTTAGGTTTCTGGAACATTCCCCTGAAGACTTTTTTTTTTTTTTTTAACTGTCACTTGATCTACCCTACGCTTGCAGTGGTTTATTCTGTTTATGGTTGACTATGCTTTCGTTGACTGGGCACCATTGGTATTACAACTCCATGTTGGTAGAATGTGATACATGAAAGCCAGTGGACAGGATTGGGACATTTGGCATGGTGACATGGTCTCTTCTGAAGACAGAGGTTGACTCTAAAGCTAATGCTTAATCATTCTCTTTTCCTGTAGATAACACAATTTGAACAGACATAGTTGCTCTGACTTTCAATTTGGCACACAACAGTTTGAGCCGAGAGCTTTTCTTGACATTTTCTTTATTAAAATATTGTCTGAGCAATACAGTCAACATTTCTGATATAGATTACTCCAGGAGAAATCATGAGGTGCTTTGGGACCATATATCCAAGAGGAAGTTATAAGCGTGGCTCAGAGTGCGATGTGAGCATGGCAGTAAATGAATCTGTAATGAGAGTTTATTTTCCTTTAAATCACATTTCACCATTGTGATGCAGTGATTAGATACGGAGGAAATCTCAGCCTGTAGCCAGTATCCTAATGTCACTGCAGCCGGTTCTGTTCTCCCATTTTAAGTAACATATCAGTTTTAGCATCTACTGAAGATGCAGTGGTCACGTGGGCTCTAACACTGTGGTTTTGTTCTCTGCTTTGATAGTTGCCTTCCCATCTTTGCGGGTGACTGATTTTTCTGTATGTAGCCATAATCAACTTTCCTTTTAAATATATGCATCCAAGAATCTCAAAGCGAATCCTATTTAAAAGTAACATGAACAAATAATAACTCAGGATCATGACACAATCACCGAAGTGCAGAAACAACAGGACAGAATGGCAGATCCTGGATGTGAATGCTTTTGCTGTCCCTCCCTTAAATCTTTGACACTCTGTGTTTCAAAAAGAAGAAAGCATCTTTCTCATGGTGTCACACTAGGAGAAAATCATATGAAAGTCTACCTATTCTCACTTCCCATAGCAGGATGGAGGATAGACGACATGTGCATGCTGACAACCAAGTTGGAGTCATTCTTCGGTGCAGGGGTCATTCACATAGACACAGACACAGGAAATCTTCAGCTCCTTTCAGTTTGGAAAGGAGAATGTTCCCAGAAATTGTCAACCCGAGGCCACCCTTAGTGACTTAGATCTGAATGTGGGAACAGTGTGAAGGATGAGGAGTAGTTCTAGAACATCTAACGTGCCTGACACATAAACTCCAGAGTTCACAGCCATTGAAAAGCCCATTTGCTTATCACCCTTCTTGGTGCTGGCTTGCCTTAAGTAGCTCCAGGCCTGGACTTAATATTCCACAAGAGTCAAATCAAGAAGCAGAGTGTTTCTGTGAGCCCTGGATGGGGACTTCAGTATTCCCCATGGAGTGATGATGCCTCCTCCTTGCTATCCTTTGTGTGTTCAGGTCCGATACTGCAACTCCCTGGATGAGGAGGAGAAGAGGGAGCTGAAGCTGTTCAGCAACCAGAGGAAACGGGAGAACTTGGGCAGAGGCAACGTCAGGCCCTTCCCTGTCACCATGACAGGAGCGATTTGTGAACAGGTGAGGATGGACTGGAGCAGGGAAGAAGCTCACTCTACGGTTATTTTATTAGATACCAGTGACATGCTCAGCCCGCTTTTAGACATTGAAGATACACAAGTGAGTAAAAGACATTCAAGCTAAGTCTTTCTCATGTAAGGTGCTATGCACCAGGGGGAGAAGTCAGACAATAAGTCAAACCAGCAAATTAAAAAATGCAGAGCTGGAGAGGTGGCTCAAAGGTTAAGAGCACTGGCTGTTCTTTTAAAGGTCCTGAGTTCAATTCCCAGCAACCACAAGGTGGCTCACAACCATCCATGAGGAGATCTGGTGTCCCCTTCTGTCACGCAGGTGTACATACAAGCAGAATACTGTACTAAAAATAATAAATATTAAAATAAACAAAAATTTGCAGCAGGGAAGGAGGGGGCTGGGAAGGACTAGGAAGGCAAGACAGCCGTAGTCTTGAGCAAGATGGTCAGAGAAGAGCCCACTGAGAATGTGGCATTTGAGCAAAGGCATGCAGAGATGCACAGAGGCAGAAGCATACAGACCTTGCCTCAAGGCAGGAGGGAGGCTCCTGTGGACAAGAAACAGTGAGTTGGCCTGTGGCCGGATCAGAAGGAGTAATGAACAGGGATTGGGGATCATGGCAGAGTTCATGGAGAGCCATATAAACAATTGGAAGGATGAGACAAGAGTAATGGCTTCACCCTTTGAAAGATTCCTTTGAAAACAGAGATGTCTGGACTGTGAGTCAGTCTCTCATCCAGGATCATCTCAGCATGGATGACCTTTAAAGGGATGGTATGAGGAGTGATGCCTAAGCTTATTCTCAGTTTTCAAAGTCTAAGAAACCCCATGCCAGCTCCATAGGACCTCACTGAGTTGAAGGACCTTTTGCCTTCTCTGTTGTAGCATGCTTAGGATGTGGTTGAGGAGCATGCTAAAGCAGGACAGGCATATCACCTGCCTGGGCTAACCTTGCCCCATTCCTGCTTTCCAAGGAAGTCCACCATTTCTCTAAATGTTCCCCATTTTTGGCCAGCACCCTCTAACTCAGGCTCTGAGTGACCAAGCAGCTGCCTTGGTAAGAGGAAGCTGGAGACAGTCTGAGAGGAGCAGGAAGTTTTTAGAACTCCGCTTTGAGATTTCACAGGAACAACTGACAGAATCTGGTAGATAGGTAGAGAAACTATTTGACCAGAAAGGGGGCCGTGGGTCATCATCCTTAAGAAGAATCCTAAGACCAACTCCTTAGATAGAAGTGATTGGTGCTTATCATATGTGTTTACTTCAGTGCCTCACCCACTCTCAGGTCAGGCTCCTCATGAGTGGGGCTTTATTTAAAGGGGAAGAAAAGTTGGCCCACATCTGTGCAGAGTAATGTCAGGTGTGTTGAAGCAGAAAGACTTTTCATAACAAACCTTTTGGAACTATGGGAGGAGTGGATCAAATATGATTATGTGTATGGATACTTTAGCTGTTCTTTCATAATCATGGAAGGTAGGGTTGTTGCCTTCTATATTGTGTTATCACACACACGCACACGAATACACATGCATAAGCTTCTAGAACCTGTTCCTCAAATCTATGCCTTTATTCTGTAGATCATATTAACTCCACTAGGAGAAGGGCTTGGTGTCACCCTTTTTACTCCCTAGTCATTGCCTGTGGAGCTCATTCACCCAAGTGAGCTATTCTGCTAGAAATAGGTCATGACCTCATGGTGAACAGAGAGCATCTTTATAAACCCAGTCCTCCTTCCTCCAGGACCCTCAGAACATAACTGCAGTCTAACCCCAGTTGTATGCAATGAGTCGTCTGTTATTTCTGCCTTGCATACTCTGAGCTTAAAAAGCAGTGCCTTTCAATCAAGACTATATGAAGAGATGCTCTTAGAGAGCTGAACAGCATGCCAGGAAGGCATAGGGAAAAGGAAGAAGCTGTTTAGGAGTGAACGGATTTCATGTGCCCTCTCCCCTCCCATTCAGCAGTACAACCCCTCCCCCAGCCAAACCCTCTCTCAATAGCCTCTCTTGATGGTGTTGACTTGGCTATGCCTCTGCATGCACTTTGAGATGTGTAGGTGATGGTTAGCCCTGTTCTTTCCACGCTCTGTAAATTGGCTTGGTACCTGTGGATCCCCCCTGTGTACTAACTACCATAGTAAGAATCTATCTCTCACACCTTTATGTTTCTCATTCTGTTACTTAAGTTGTCTTACTTAGGCCCTAGGGTGGGGGTTCCTGGGAAGAAGAAGAGAAATCTGCCCTACCAGGTATGTAAAGTGGGGGACACACTAACCAGCACGCATATAACTTCCTAGCAGCTAGCTTGTTGATGGTAGTTGAACATCATTCTGTCACAGCTCTAGGAGATACAGCTGATGCTGGCGCTGTTTCTGTTTGCCTCACAGTGTGGAGGGCAGATCAAGGGCGGGGACATCGCTGTGTTTGCCTCACGTGCTGGCCATGGCATCTGCTGGCACCCGCCCTGCTTCATCTGCACCGTCTGCAATGAGCTTTTGGTTGACCTGATCTACTTTTATCAAGACGGGAAGATCTACTGTGGTAGGCACCATGCTGAGTGCCTGAAGCCGCGCTGTGCAGCCTGTGACGAGGTCAGGCCCCATCCATGTGTGAATACTTTTAACTGTTCTGGTCTATTCATGGAAGGCAGAGGTGGCACCATCAGTGTCATGATGTCTCTGTCTCTGTCTGTCTCTCTGTCTCTCTCTAACCTTCACACACACACACACACACACACACACACACACACACACACATCTCCCATAGACTATTCCCAGGTTTCCTTGCCCTGCCATAGCATCACTGTGTTGCTCCACAGGGACATGACATATGTATATGACCTTTAGCTTCCCACACATGGAGGCAACCATCATCAGTGACTCTACCTACCCTCTTATGTTAACCCTTTCCAGAGCGAAATATCACCCATGTCCCAATCATGGTGGATGAATCTGGCACCTGGCATCATGGCCCACTCAGCATGGTGGATTCAGATCCTCCCATGTAGGAATAGATAGAAATTCTCAAATGGCATGCAGCTGGCAATAGGCCTCTTATAATTAAACATACAGACATACACATACAATGTGTGTGTGTGTGTGTGTGTGTGTGTGTGTGTGTGTGTGTGTGTAAAATAAAGGAGCCATTGAGCAAATTAAGATTCCATCTAAAAACCTGAAAGTCCACACCAGAAATAGAGCTCCATTTCTAAAAGAGTCTTTGGAACAGTTGGTGAGAGAGGGGAAGAAAATGGACGAAGCTTTAGAGGTCACTGTATATCTATCTGCATTCTTCTGCCCCTGGTGCTACAGGTGTTTGAAAACATTGAGGTAAGAAATCAGAATGGCGTACAAGGCCGCTGCTTGCCAGTTGTTTTTTCCCCACCAGAAGCACACCCAAGTACTAAGTGCTCATCTCACCACAGAGTGGAAAGCTTGCCACTGTAGAAGCTCGGAGCGCAAAGAAGAGCGTTCTAAGCCTGACCCTTACAGGAAACATTTAGGGGAAGATCTTTGACAAGGGATTCTAATTCACAGGGTAGCTCTGTGCTTCTGTCTGAGCTTATAATAAACAGCAGTCTCGAGGCAGGCTTTTTTCCATCTGCCAGAGCCACCAGGACAAGGACATTTGTCTATTACAAACTGCCTGGGGGCCATGGGCCTCTACTTTTCTAGAGATTTGGTGAACCTTCACTAATGTAGATTCTGATGGTAAGGTTGAGGTGCTCAACTCTCTGGCTCTTGGTGGAAAACCAGATGTGGGTCAAAGTCTGGTACTCTAGACAGCCTCTTGGCCTTCTGGCTCAGACACACACGTGCACATTCACAAAGCTGAACAAGCATCACCACAAATCATGTTCAGCAACCAAAAAATTAGTAACCTACATCTACCAGCTGCTCCTCTCTTCCTCCAACCCCTTCTCCCAGCCTTGTCCCTGTCTCTGGATTCAAGAATGCTAGACATCTCGTATGAATGTTACCATATCATATTTTCCACCTAGCATGATGTCCTGAGAGTTAACTTGTGTCATAGTAAATACTAGCACTTCGTTCCTTTTCATGGCTGAGCAATTAAGGAGCTATATGAACAGTCTTATGAATATATCACATTTAGTTTTAGCCATTTAGCAACTGAGATGCGTCTTTTTCTACTTTCATCTGTTATGAACATTCATGTGGAAGTTTCTGGGTACACAGAAATTTTAAATCCTCAATGTTTTTCATGGTAATTCTAAGCCTAACTTTTGAGCGAAGGCCAAATTGTTTTCTAAAACAGCTGCCCCACTTACTGTCAAGGTAAGAGAATTCTAGATCCTACATGTTCTCTTTAATTCTTGTAATTGTGTTCTTTTTTTATTATAGCTAGCCCAATAGGTACAAAATAATTCCACAGTGTTATGTCAATTCATAATTTTCTAACCACTAATGATATTGATACTTTTTAAATATTTTCGTCTATTTGTTTATTAATTTGGGGGAGAATTTTTAATTTAAAAGCCTTTGCTCATTTTTCACAGTTGGGTTATTATTTTTTTCACCACTTACGAGGGTGTTCATATGATCTGAATACAAGTCTCTTGACAGGTACATGGTTCACACCTATGGTCTTCTGTTCTCTATATTTTTACTTTCTTATTGATATCCTTTAAAGCATAGGAGTTTTTAATTTTGATGGAGTCCACATGCTCTATTATTGACCTGTTGTTATTTGCATTTGTGTTGCCATATCTGTGAAACAATTGCCTTGTCCAAGATCAAGAAGATTTATAACTATAGGTTTTTTTTAAGAATTTTATCATGTTTTTTTTTTTCTTTTAGATCATTCATCCCCTTAAGGTTATTATTTTTTTTTGGTGAGAGGTAGGACATCCACTGATACTTTTATACCCCAGCCCTGTTTATTGGAAACTATTCTTTTACCATAGTATAGTAGTTGCACCACCTTTGACAACAAAGTGCCATACATACACAGACACACACATACATACACACAGAAACACATACACACACATATACACAAACACATACACACCTATACACACACATACACAAACACAATATACATATGCACATACATACACAAAAACATACATGTACATACATAACACACATGCAGACACACACATACACACACATATACACGCATGCACACACACCCCACACACTCACACAGACTCTCAATTCAGAGGGTTTCTCTATATGTTAAGTTTTTATGGCAATACCACACTAAGATTATCATTATGGCATCATAATGAATTTTGAAACATATACTTTGAAGTTGAAAACAATTCTGATGGGTCAAAACATAAAACACCTCCCAAGGCCAGGAAGGTATTAGCCATGAAGGTGACCAATTCTGAGGCACCAGAGCGTGTTGCAGACATGACCAGCTGGCCACTCTCCTTAGCTGAAGATTATTGTCACGGGTAAATGCACTCCAAGTGTTGCCCGATGTTATGTTTTCAAGAAGCAAAAGAGTTCCAAGGAGTCGTATGATATCCGCACCTTAGAAAGCACTGTGCATCAGCCAGATGAAGCTGCTATACGTGAGCGATTGTTGATTTTGCTTTATGTTCCCTAAGGCAGGACGTTTGCTCTCCACTGAAATGCGGCACCATATTAATCGTGCTTCAGGAAGATAAAGTTGTAAGGCTCGTATATGTCTGGAATGAGAATGCGTAGACGCAGCACTGTTTGACAACTTGTGGGCTACCCTGCTTTCTTGGCTTTTTAGTTTGGGGCTGTTACCTCCCCCGAGGTGTTCTCACAGTAAGTCTTAGACGCTGACCAGGTGGCTTCCCGTCTCCAGATCATCTTTGCAGATGAGTGCACAGAAGCGGAGGGTCGACACTGGCATATGCGACACTTCTGCTGCTTTGAGTGTGAGACAGTGCTGGGCGGCCAGCGCTACATTATGAAGGAGGGAAGACCCTACTGCTGCCACTGCTTTGAGTCCCTGTATGCAGAATACTGTGATACCTGCGCCCAGCATATAGGTAAGGCCTGATCCTTCGGAGGATCAGCTTGATCCTTCGGAGATGGGCTCAACCCTGTGTCTGCCATAGTCAGAATCCCTTTGGTTATAATTAATTAAAACACACACACACAACAACAACTCCTACCAGCTCAAGTAAAAAGTAATCTCTTGGCTTATTTTACTAATAAAGCCAAAGAGAATTTGGCTTCAGGTAGAGGTGGGTGAAGAGTTAGACAAAGCCTGTTGTTTTAGGTTTTCTTCTGTGTCAGTTCAGTTTGCCTTTTATTCGCATCTTTTGGGAGCCAGCAATCTTCACAATCTTCACGTGGTGTCTGAGACGTTGCTCTAGTTATTCATCATCTTAACACTTGCACTCTCAAAAGGAGAAAGGAATTTACTATACCAATTTCCAAGCCAGTTCCTCAGGATGGAATCTTATCAGTCCCGACTTGGCCATGGATCTACCTTCAAGTGGGACTATGTAGTGTATGTTTCCACTCTCAGGGAAAAGTGTGAAGCCCCTGAAAGGAAAATATGGGAAGAAGAGAACATATTCCTTAATGACCTTTTGGAAAAAATCAGGAATGGGTAGAGGAGCGAATCAGGGGAGGGGAGGTCCTTTGGTAAAGAGGGATGGTCATGGGCTTCCAGCAACTGTGCCTTCTAGAACTCATCAACAATCAGCCTAGCCAAAGGCAGAGGAAAACAAACAGTCCACAAGCGGTGTGCTCCAGTTTGTGGCAGGTTGGAGGTGATAAGAATCATCCCAGGTTGTTCAGCCATTCAGCAGGTCAGCTTTCATTGGACAGGCTTTTGCCTTGCCTTTTCTGGCATCATGGGAATGAGCAACACTGTTTAAGAAATAGTGTCAGTGGACAAATGTCTGTGGCCGTAGTGTGACTAAAGGCAGTTACTTACAGGCAGTTTCTATGCTCACAAAACCCCAAGAAGCCTATTCAGAAGCTGCCAGTGTCATACCTGCAGTGAGGAAATGTGGAAACCCTCCATTTGCGATGCCATTTTGTTCCGATTAGCTTTTGTAAAGATCCCAAAGAAACAGCCTTTTCCCTGGGATTCCTTGGGAAGGATAGATTTAACATTGCCTTCTGGGCTTAGGTGATGGCAAGACCTTTTCCCCAAAGTACCCTCTGCTCTCGCAGTGTGCCACCTTGACCAGGTGCCCAGAAACCTTTCTGTTTTCAGGACTGTCACGGTCAGACATGCTGATATTCTTTGGTGCTTTCGATTGTGAGTGGACATGTGAGGCAGGAAAGTGGGTGGGACTGTAGGGGGACAGCGGTGCAATGTCTTGACCCCAGGCTGTCCACGTGTAGTTTTAAGTCTGCTAGTCAGTGCTTATCCAGGTAGGAGAGACTGAGTGTTAGAAACCGAACCCACAGCAGCGACACCGCCTTCTGATAGCTTTTCTCTGTCCTTTTCCTCTCCACAGAGGCCACAACTCTGCCACAAATGGCTGCTTGGAGTTTTTTTTTCCCAGAAGCTTGGGAGAGAAAAATCCATTTATGACTAGGTCATGTGCATCTCAAATGGCCCCTCTGTCATCTGTCTTCTTTCAGCTATCCGCAGCTTTTATTGGCTCCCCCCTCCTCTTGAATTCACAAAAGGCACCCATCCATATTTTACTAGAAAAGACGACTGTTGTGGCCTGCAGTCTGTCTGCTGCTCTAGTTGAGTTGCTTGTCCCTGAACTTTTAAAGTCTACTCTCCTGCAAAATGTAAATTCCCCAGGACAGCAGACCCTGCTGCGTGTATCATGTGTACCCCAGCATTCGATGACACCACCTCTGACCATACTGTACAAATATGCCATATTTATGCAGCTGCTCGGAGCAGATTCGACATCAGGCCACCGTTGCCAGGGCAACAGGACTCCTGCTTGTGCGTAGCCGAGTAAACAGTCTTATAAACAGAGGAGGCTGTGGTGGCTGCAGATGCATGCTCCTTTAGAAAAGTGCTCGAAGGGCTTAGGGGGGATTCTTTAGGAAGGCATGCTTAGATGTTGAACACAGAGCCCTTTTCCAGATGTTTGGAGTTCAGGAGCAGTTCAGAGGGCCGTCTGACATCGGTGATGTTTATCAGAAGCAGTGCTCAGCTGCCTGCCGGGCTGCTTTGTAATTTGCTTCCCCTTCTCTCTACCCCCCACCCCCCATCCTCTGAAGCTCCATCCCAGAAAGCTTGGCCTTTCTCTGACAGCTTTGAGTAATTCCCTTGCAGCATAGTGGTAGACAGGGCAAAGGAACCCAGCCTTCCAAGTTCTTTGGTGGGGAGTGGACCAAGATACAGCTGTGGGTTGCCACACTAAGAAACTGCCTATTGTCAGTGGCTTATAGTCAGATCCTGGGCAGGTGATGATACCACAATGAGTTCTCAGAACTCTTGACATACAGAATAAAAACTTTAGAGGAGGAAAGAGAAGGCTGTACAGTTTCAGGGGTTACTTTTGGGACAGCATGTAGACAGTGGTCCTCTGCAAAGAGGGAACTAGGCTTTCAGGCCTAATAAAACTGAAGGAAAGACAGTTTCAATAGCTTGGGACTAAACTCTGTGTACCTCTGCTGAGGAGAGCAAAGCCCGGAAGTGAAGCCGCTTGCCTGGAACCAGACTGATAGAAAACACAGAACCAAGACGCAAACCCAACAGATGGGCTTCAGCAGTTTTAGAGCCCCCTGAAAGTGGAGGAGCTGGAGTGGCCCCACTCTCTGGTCATATTTCTGCACCTATATCCAGCCCACTGCTTCCCCTACAGGCCTCGGCTTTCCATCCTCAAACTACCTGGGGATGCTGGCAGACATGGGGGTAGAGTTGAGTTAGACAGTGGCCTTATCAACCGGGGTTACCCTGTAATAACCCCTGTCCTCAGAAAGTTCTCCTCGTGTTGTCCTAGGGCCTAGTGCCCACATGAAGAGACACTTTCCTCCCCAGTTTGAGGTATATATAGTCAGAGAAGAATTTACCTCCTTCCTGCCTGTCCCTGGGCTCTAGTGACAAAAGCCAGCAGAGGCAGAGCCAGCTCGGGATAAGCTGCTTCCTATGGTTAGCCCCGTCATTTCTCCCCCTGTTCCTGTTTACTCCTCTCTAGACAGGTTTCTGGAAGTCATACCCTGGAAAACCAGGCTGCTGTGGAATTCTAGCCACTAAAAGTGAAGGTTCATTTTAGTGCTGGTCAGACCCCAGGACTAGGAGATACTATTGACGACTAGCCGAGGTTTGTTCCAAACGTGGTTTCAGTGCCCAGAGATAACGGCTTGACATAGAGGTAACATCCTCAAGGACAGTACCCCCTTCCCACCAAAAGGCAGAGGAACTAGTGATGAGCAAGAACAGAATAAAGAGGTGTGGGAGGTTCCTAGCACATAGGACCGCAGGGATTATATGCAGCAGAGTCCTGCCTGAGAGGACCTGTGCCTCTTCCTTTCCTGATGATGTTAGATGAAGGGTGTATACCAATGGTATGACAGCCTCTTTTACAAACACACCCATGGTTTTCCTTACCAAGAGTAAGCAGGATCTCTCCCGCTCAAGAGCTGAAGCCCACTTCCTTCATTTCCAATGATCTAGTCTATTCAGGACCACAGACCGCACAGTTTCTAAACAGTAGAAACATTTCTCACAATTCTAGAGGATGTGAAGGACACAGTAAAGGACCAGGCATATTTGGTGTCTGGGAAGATCTGCTCTCTGGCTCAGAGATGACATCTTGCTGTGTCCCCACATGGCAGAGAGGATGAACAAGCTCCCTTGGGTCTCTCTCATAAGAATATTAATTCATTCATATTAGCAGAACTTTCATGATCTAATTAGCTCTCAAATTATCCTACTTCCTACTTAGCATGGTGGGTGTTAGGAATTGAGCATTGAGACTGAGGGAAAAACAAGATATCCACATTACGCATCCAACAAGCTGCTGCAGTGACTGACCTTTGATTGACAGTGAGTGGAGATACAGTTCATCCATCCACCAACTATAAGTAGGAAGAACCCCTATTACATAGGTCCTGGAGATGCTATGGAAACTTCTTACCCTGTCTCCATAAAACACCACTTTCTGTGAAAGAGATAAGTCATAAACCTATATGTGCATATGATGGTATGATATCAAGAACTAACACCATAAGAAACAGTAGAGGGGTAACCAAGGCTACCATCAGCTGTGGCCAAGAAGGCTCTCGAGACAGCTCATCAGATACCTGGGTAGAATAAAGGAGACAGGACTGTTATATTTGTTCAGGGTGAGACTTCTGAGGACAGAGCTGATCTCTGATACCTAATTATATACCTTAGTCATTAACCTTCTGTGCCTCCATTTTCTCATCTGGAAAACAGAAACAATGGTAGAAACTCACCTCAAACAACTGAGTGCTTTATCAGGTTAGTATTTTTACAGCTTGAATATCCCTTAGCCAACGGAAGAGAGCAGGATTAGTTCAGCTTTTAGAACCATGCATTCTATAATGAGGCACTTGAAGGATAGGATACAAGTCTAAACATGGGCCTCATTTATATTCCTATACAGCTTATGCATATAATCTTGAGCTATTTTTATATACCATCATTAATACTTTTATGTACAAAGCAGTTTTATTATACAGAATTTTCTGCTTGCAGCATCTTGTTGACACCAAAGTTTTGGCTTTAGAAGCATTTTGAGTTTCGCTCTTTTTTTTTTTTTTTTTTTTTTTCCCGATTAGGGATGTTCAACTTCTGTTGCTATTTGGGGAAAATTGTATCTCTGGCAGAATTCATGGCTAAGCTGTTCTGATCTAGGTTCTCCATGCTGCTAGCAAGGGAAGTTGGGAAGTCCGCTGACTAGGAGAATAAGTTGTTGCAGGGTCTGGGCCCTGGTTGCACGGGGCCTGACTGAGAAATGACTGGCATGGTATCTTCTGTGGTGTGGCAGTACTCAGTACTCTCAGCCTCCTGTCTGTCTCTTGCTTCGCAGGAATTGACCAAGGTCAAATGACCTATGATGGCCAACACTGGCATGCCACAGAGACCTGTTTCTGCTGCGCTCATTGTAAGAAGTCCCTGCTGGGGCGACCATTCCTCCCAAAGCAAGGCCAGATATTCTGCTCACGGGCCTGCAGTGCTGGGGAAGACCCCAACGGCTCTGACTCGTCTGATTCAGCCTTCCAGAATGCCAGAGCCAAGGAGTCTCGCCGCAGTGCCAAAATTGGCAAGAACAAGGGCAAGACAGACGAGGCCATGCTGAGCCAGCACAGCCAGCTGCAGGTGAGTTCTAACCGGCTCTCAGCTGATGTGGACCCACTGTCAGTGCAGATGGATCTCCTCAGCCTGTCCAGCCAGACGCCCAGCCTCAACCGGGACCCTATTTGGAGGAGCCGGGATGAGCCCTTCCATTATGGGAATAAGATGGAGCAGAACCAATCCCAGAGTCCTTTACAGCTCCTCAGCCAGTGCAACATCAGAACTTCCTATAGTCCAGGAGGGCAGGGAGCAGGAGCTCAGCCTGACATGTGGGCCAAGCACTTCAGCAACCCCAAGAGAAGCTCGTCAATGGCCATGAAGGGGCATGGAGGCAGCTTTATCAAGGAATGCCGTGAGGACTATTACCCAGGGAGGCTGATGTCCCAGGAGAGCTACAGCGATATGTCCAGCCAAAGCTTTAGTGAAACCCGAGGCAGCATCCCAGTTCCCAAGTATGAAGAGGAGGAGGAGGAGGAGGAAGAAGGTGGCATATCTACTCAGCAGTGCCGGCCCCGTCGTCCACTCAGTTCCCTGAAATACACAGAGGACATGACCCCCACAGAACAGACTCCTCGTGGCTCTATGGAATCACTGGCCCTGTCAAATGCAACAGGTAGGCTAATACTGGGTAATACCATATTTTTCTACACAGATGCCTCCTTCAGCAGCTGCTGAGGAAGGTTGATCTTGTCAGATAGCTTCTGTCTTTGAAGGAATATAGACAAAGCCCGAGTCCAGAGTCTGGATGCCTGTGATGTATGGTGAGGTTTAAGAGTGAGTGGGCAGAGACTACCCAATGGAAGGGAAGGAGCCAGGTGAGGAATGGTGTCCCCTCAGGGTTCTGGCTTCAGTTTGCCCCATGGAGCTCTGAGATTATGTAGTAAGTCAGTTTCTCCTGGTGACATTCAGACTGATGTATCATCCCACCATGCCCACCCATCATTGCCTTTGGACTGCTAGAGAGAAGCATTGTGTGTGTTGTCCAGCAGCATTCAGGGAAAAGAATAGTGGGGGCATTTACCACACAACTGGGATGGAAGTGCCCTAGCCTGTTATTGCTTGAGGACCCCAGTTTCCAAGGTTTTTTTTTAACCCCAGGATCTCAAAGATATATAAGTAAATATGTATATATAAATATATATATATATATATATAAATTTAAATATATATATATATATATACAGGTGAGAAAGCAGGCTGACCAAAATGGACAGGAAGGAGGTAGACCATCCTGTCACCAACAGTTTAACAGTTTTCCAACTGGCTGTAGAGATAAGATAGTTACCTAAGATGACCCATGGCTTTAATATTTAAATGCATGTTCTGTGTGCTTATCTTACTGATCCGGGTATGTAAACCAGACAGGGTGCTGTTTAAGATTCACCTGGTGAGTCATCTGTTGGGGGTGTTTCAATCAAGCTCAGCAGAGCCACGTGTTAGCTGCAGCTTGGTAAGATTGCTCCAGAGTGTGTTCGGTGTCTGCCCCTCTGATAGCAAAGAACCGGAGTCACCGGTGTGTACCTTCATAGCAGGTCTCACAATCAAAGATGTGCCTGGGATCTACAACATTTTGACATTGCAGCGTAATGATGTCTACAAATAACAAGCCACATCCATAGCTATCCTCGGGTTCTTGGAGCCTTGTAGGCCAAGGGTTCGACAAACTTGGACCATAGATATGGATGGTCAACTCTGTTAGTCCCATCTGATAGGCTCAGCTGCTGCTCAGCCCCAGCTACCAGTTGCAATAAACACAAATGTCTTAGCTAACATGAAGCTTTTACCACATGCCAACCATACCACATGTCAGTTCTTGTTCTGGGCATAACACAGATATTAGGTATTAATTTAGGTGTCACCACATTCCAAGGGAAACATTCCATTATTCCTATTTCTGAGTTGGAAAATCAGAACCAGAACGTTTGAGAATTCCCCAGCTTTTTAAATTAATTAAATTTGCCCTTTGACAATTTCTCACATGTATATAGTATATTTCTCCTATGCCCCACCTTCTCCTCTCCCTCCCACTCCTGCTATCTTCCCCTCCTCCCTATAGGTCCCTTTTCTATGTTTGCATCTTTTTGTCTTATTTTGGGACCCACTGAGTTTTAACCAGGATTGTCTGGGTGACCGTGGTGTGGAACTATCTAATGGGGCCTGGTGGGTACACGTCTAAAGAGAATGACTCCCCTTTTTTCCAAATCTGTCAGTAGCCAATAGTTCAGCAGGGAGAAGAAGGGTCTGCATGATCCCTCCCATCCAAGACTGGCTGTTGACGCAAGCCTTTGAGGGACAGAGCAAGGCGGTGGCCTGGACTTCAGAGCCATGCTTTTTCTTGATCCAGCGTCTGCCGCCACCATACAAACCCCACATGATTAGATCCTTCGTAGAAGTTAAAAACACAGATTTTTAAAGATGTAGAATCTATTTAAATTCTCCCCTAGACAAATAAAAGCCCGAGTCATAGGCTGTCTATACAATGAGTTTTACCTTTTATCTCTCCTCCAGTGCTTCACTGACTGTGTTCCCACTTGTCCCAGAAGACAGAGCTTAGCTATTCTTACCCCCATGTTTCAAATTTAAATATATATATATATATATATGACACTTGGTGAATAAGCAGCTTCCCTGATAATTGCAGAAATAAGAGCAGTGAGTGCAATCAGGGCAGTAGAGAAGACTGCCTGAGAACATCTGTGTGCTTTAATTATTTCAGAGGACAGTAGGTAAATATGCGCTCCCGCCTCAGAAGCTAGCTTTCTTAGGCGAGACCGCTTGCCCTAGAACCCCTGGAACATGTGATTAAGATGTGTACTCCTCAGCTTCCTCCCCAGGCCCTCTGCAGCACAGCTCAACAGAGATGGAGCCCAGGAGTCTGTGGTTTTGCCAAATCCTTCCTGCTATGATGTGTGCCATTGTCTTAGGGCAGATGTTCTGGGTTTGTCTATTTTGACAATAACTGTCTCACACTAGGGGACCTTATGAGGAAATCAGGGGTCAAACAGTAGGAATCTGGGAAAGGTCAAGAAAGAACAGAGTCTCCACTTCTAAGGAAGAGGCTATAGGGTGTTTACTCCCATGATTCTCAGAAGACAATGTCCCTCTGCCTTTGATTTCTGAAAGGAAACACTGAGCCATGTGTGATGAGGCTGACAACAAAGATTCCAGAGATCAGCACTGTTCAATGTGGTAGCTGGTAGCCATGTGTAACTATTGAAATTAGATTAATTAAGATTAAATGTAATGAAGATCACAGGCCAACAAGTAAGATATAAGGGCTGTGTTGGGGTTCTCTTAAAGGAGAACTGATATATAGCTATATATAGATATACATGCATACATTGAGGAAGGGTTCAGGGAGCTTAGACCAGCTTACAGGATGCAGTTCAGGTACTCCAGCAATGGCTGTCTCACATTGGAGAGGCCAAGAATCCAGTAGTTGTTCAGCCCACAAGGCTGGATGTCTGATCAGTCCCAGTCTGGTGCTGAAGGCCTGGAGGATTCCTGGAGAGCTGCTGGTCTTCAGACTATGTTGAAATCCTGAAGAAAGTGGTCCTAACATTGGCAAAGGAATGTCACAATGACAGGATAGAAGAACTTGCCAGGGAAACCAAGGTGAGCAGGCAAAAAGCAAAGCTTCCTTCTTCCAGGTCCTTTTATCTGGGCTTCCCCCAGAAAGTGCCACCCAGATTTAGAGTGAGTCTTCCTACTTCAAATAATCTGATCAAGAACTCTCACACAAGAGTGCCCAGCAGCTCTAGCTACAGTTAATTCCAGGCACAGTCAAGTTGACAGCCAAGATGAGCCATCAGAGCAACAGCAATCGACCAAAATTTAGATTTCCTTTTCATTAATTTGAATTGCATTAGCCGCATGAGGCTAACGGCAGCCCTGCTAGATTAAAGGACAGAGCGAGTGTATGGTGCGCATATGGGGTTAAACCCCCTGCCAGTCTTTGGGAGCTCTTATACAAGCCTTGGCTTTATGGATTTTTCGGCCACTAGTCAAAATAATAGGTTGAGAGTCTATGGTTTCCTTAAAATCATTATTTATTTATTCTAGACAGGGTCTCATGTATCCCAGGCTGACCTCAAACTCATTATATAGCAGAGAATGACGTTCAGCTTCTGATTCTCCTGCCTGATGGTGCTGGAATCACAGGAGTACGCTCCCACACCATTTACAAGGTGCAGGGCAATGAACCCAGGGCTTTGGGGATGCAATGAGCTGCATCTCTTCCGGTCTCTGGTTCAGATATTCCCTTCATTTATTTTTTTTTAATATGTGACTAGGGATTGAAACCCAGGGCCTCATGCCAGCACAGCAAGTACTCTGGCACTGAGCTGTGCCCTTACCTCTTTTTTCTTGTCATTGATGATTTGAGGCAAGGTCTCACTCAATTACCCAGGCAGGCCTTGATTCACAATCCTCCTGCCTCAGCCTCCTGAGCAGCTGGGATTGCAGGCTTCTTCTACCAGGCCTAGCTCCACTTCATTGCTCAGGAGACCTCCAGCTTTAAAACAAGTCACTAAATTCTCTAAGACTCGGTTTTCTAGAAACTGGAATTTAATGGGTATCAGTGCTCCCTTTGTAGGCATCTTGTGAAAATTAAATAATAGGTGCAATTAAATTCAAGAAGCACATATGACCCTCTGTAATGGTTCCTGGGAAGTTCATATTGTTAATTCTTCTTTAACTCTAAAGTACATTGTGGGATGGCTCAGTTTCACCACTCTGCCAGCACCCACCAATGGTTTGCTGTATGTAGAATGTCCCTGTGGCCTCATCTTTGCCCAAGAAGCAGGAGGCAATATGTAAAACAGGGAATTAAAGGAAGTAATTTTGTGCCCTTGATTTTCCATGGGACTATCAGACAAGACAGCAAGGTACAAAAATGATGGTTGTTATCACAAGCAAAACTTCTGGTTGTAGCACAGCTTAAGTGGCTTTTTACATCCTACTCCACATAGTCCTGGACCAGAGGTATCTCTTTGAAGGATGAAGCAAGCTGGTCTTCTCTTTGCTGATCCTCAGTCATGCATTTGAAGTCTGCCAGAACATTGAGTAGTCCTTTGAGGAGACAGTGATCTAAACCATCCATGAATTTTTAAGCCTTAGAGTCACAGACTGAGCTACAGGTATAATTTACTAACTCCTTTGGTCATGCCTCTAAAGCTTGGTTCAAGATAATGGATTTATTTTTCCTTCTGAGGATGGCAGCTCATGCTATTGAGTAAGTTCAGTGTTTAATCTGGCAGGCAGCATGGTCCTTTGTAGACAGCATTGTTCTTTAGAACAGATCTTTATAAAAGCTCAGCTCAGCCACTTGCCAGCATCTGATCTGGGCCCTGGCACTGCCCAGATTGTTTAGAACCGGGAGTGTGCACGCCCTTCTCCATGAAAAACACACTCCGTGCTGTCTGCTACCGCTGAGTGACTCAGGAATATTGCTGCGTAAACATCAGTGTGAGAGCGCTGTGAAGCTCCTTAACCCTGCTCTTCCCAGATGCCATCTGAAGCTGCTCACAATGACAGTGATGATTGAAGCGGGCCACTGATCATGAGCCAACATGCTGACACCTTTACACGCTTCATATTTTTGAAACCTCACAG